TATTAAATCAGGCAATAGTAAAACTGCCTACAACCAACATTTGGTGGTGGTGGCAGTACTTGAACCTTAAGATCCAAAGCTGGCTTGGCTATTACCATAGGACTAATAAAGAATAAAATGATCTTAAAATTTTGGTTATTTACCTTCTATATGCACTAGGTCCGAGTATTCATCTGATACCTGTTTAGGTGTAATCATTCATCTCTTCTTTCCAGTTTCATTTTTCCCTTTCCTGATTTTTCTGTTTCCTATGGTTCTCACTTTATTTCGTGACCATTGCTTTTCTGTAGTTGTTCTGGTCATAGTTGAATTGATTTCTACGTACTTGATGGAAAGATCATCATAAATTTTCTCGTGCACTTTTTACTCTTCGGAATAGGATGTGACAAGTGATTCAATTAACCTTTTTCATTTAATATCGTTCGCCGTAGTTTCGGGAGAATCTTAACGGTTCACCTTATTGCATAAACTCTCGTCAGAATCACACCCGAATGCCATGCTCTTTAAGGTGTCATGTTTTGTACCACTCTACACATGTACGCTATGTATCTATTGAGAGTGAATACTCTCTCCTATCCGATACGAAAATTTACGAATGGTTAGAATTTATCTCGCTTACCGCTTTCTCTAATTATAGGAAATCAAGAAACTGTTGGATTCGTTGCAAGTCAAGTATCGAAAATTGAAATTGTTCAAGGATGTGTCATTTGTTACTTTTGGGTAGTTTCATACTTGACATTACTCATCTGTTGCCTGTAGATCTGCAGAGGATAGAGATGTCGCACTGAAGACCCTCAATGGCCATATGTGGCGCGGACGACAGTTAGAGGCTCGAGTAAGTACAATTTCCTGTGGTCTGTCTACCCGAAAGCTTCAGCACGGTCTTATGGACTCATAAACATACACGTTTACGCATGTCACAGAATATTACACTTCTGCTAAGCTTTCTCTTAAAATCTGCACGCAACACTTTCACCCGCCCCCCACACAATACCCCAATTTCCCCCTTTTTATCCCACCCCGAACGGTTCTACTGATGTAGGTTCATGTTGTAGATCGCCGCTATCCTCTTTGACACCTCTCGGAACCGATCGTTCCATTCCTCCTACCTCACTCTGCGTTCAAATTGGCTTCGTTCAACATTAGAACTCTAATGCGTATAGGACGACAAGCAGGTTTGGCTCATACGCTCCAAAGTCTAGAGATTGATGTGTGTTGCCTCTCGGAATCACGTATCCAGGATCCGAGCTCAGTGATCCGATTAAAGTCTCCTTCCAACCCAAAAAAACGTCTCAACTGCTTTTCTCCGAAGACCCTATCGCTTCAGCATCTGGTTAAGCAGGCGTTGGTATTGCCTTAAGCGCTAGGGTCTAGGCTGGTCTATTGGATTGGATCCCGATAGCTAACCGACTATGCGCAGTGATACTGAGGCTCAAGTAAGTTCACAAAGTAGAAACCAAATGAACGATGCTTATTCGTTGTTTCTACATACGCTCCCGCAGACTGTAGCCCGGCCACAGTCAAGGACACCTATCACAACCGACATGAGCTTCTTCTCAAAGCACCTAAGACGTGATCCTGGCCGGAGACCTAAATGCACGCGTTGGTCGTCTGTCACCCGGCGAGACCCACTTTGGTGGCCGTCATGGCCTTGATAGCTGTCGTTCAGATAATGGGGATACACTTCTGAGCATATGCTCAGAACACGGTCTGTTCCTCGTTAGCACGAACTTCAGACACTCTAAGAGTCACCTTGCCATCTGGCGTAACCCATCTTCGGCACAGACCTGGAGTCAGATTGACCATATAACTATTAGTTATAGATCGAGAGGATATGTGAGACTGCCGTTCGTATTGGTCTACCTACTTGGACTTCGACCACGCACTGGTTTGTGTCATGTTGTCTATGCGATTTGGTGGCCGCAAGAAGATGCGATGCAAATAGCTTGACGTCACCAAGCTTTCTGACCCTGCCGTACTAGCCGATTACCAAAACGAGTTGGCCGCAAGAATAACTACCCACCAAGTAGCGTAGATCAACACTGGACAACCATTCAAAGCGCAATGCACTCAGCCGGTTTACACAGTTGTGGCCTAACCCGCCGAGTTGCAAATCACTGAGTCTCCTCTAGCTCTTTCAGGCTCCTAGACGCGCGTCGGGAAATCCCGGTAAACCGCGAGTACAATGAACAGCGACTCTCCCTGAGGCGTGAACTCACAAAGAGTTTGAGAGACGACTGAGAGGCCTGGTGGACGCTACGTGCAAAGGAAATGGAATCCGCGGCTAGGTGTGGAAACACCCGGCAACTATTCCACCTCACCCGTGCTACAGGCCCCAAAAGACAGTGCGTTAATGAAACAAACTGAAAGTGTACCCCACACATGGGGAGAATCAGTTGTCACACCCATCTACAAGAAGGGATGTCGCAACGCCTGTTCCTACCACAGGGGCATAATTCTGATTCCAATAGCGCCGAAGCTGCTGGCGTCCGTTTTATTACGCGGATTATGCCCATTCCGTGGGAAGCAAATCCGCGAGGAGCAGGCCGGGTTTCGTGCACGCCGTGGCTGCATAGATCAAATCTTCACCCTCCCTCAGCTACGAGAACACCGCCGCGCATACAGACGGCAAATCATTGTCGTTTTTTAGACATCAGAGCGGTTTTGGACTCTATCAATCACCCTGCACTGTGGAACTGTTTGCCGAGACACGGAGTACCCGAGAAGTATGTCTCACTCCTAAAAGCGCTCTATCACCGGACCTCGGGGAAGGCTAGGGCCTATGGTGAACTTTCACCCTCATTTCCTGTCACCAGTGGGGTGCGACAGGGTTGCCCTATCTCTCCGTTTCTGTTCAACTTTGCCATAGATGATGTCCTACAAAAACGCGCCAACGATTCAAGAGTCCTTAGACCGTTTGGTAATTGAGGTTGCTCGCTATGGTGTGTCCTCTGCACTTTCAAATTGCAAAATGTTGTTGCAAGATTTGCAGGAACCCATTCCTGCACTTTCGTTGGATAATGACACTCTGGAAGTAGTCAAAAACTTTGAATACCTTTGGAGTTGCATAACGGCTGG